CCCTCCCACTGTCTGGTTGCTTTTTAAAAAGGTTTGCTGGTGCTGAGGATGGGAGTGTGTAGGGATGGATGTTGGGAGTGTACTGCCATAGCGTAGAGCCAAGAGTCAGTGGATGAAGAAGAAGTAGCGGTGGCAAGAGGAGATTGCATATTGATTATATTTTGCCAGCAGCATGGAGGTTTGGGTGTGCATTGTAAGAGAAAGAGAAGAAAGACGACTTCAAGATTTCTTGGCATGACACTGGATGAGTCAAGTTGCCTTTAACTAAGATGGGGGGAGGGATGGGGAGGAGGAGTATGAGTATCACAGCTGTGGAAGAGGGACTGGGATTCTTTTTGACATGTTGTGTCTGAGGTGTCTGTTTAACACCCAACAGCAGGTGCTGAGTGAGCACAGTCCTGGAGGGAACGAACTGGAGAGCTATCAGGGCAAAGGTGTCATTCAAAACCATGAGACTGCAGGGGATTTTTCAAGGCGTTGAATTACAGCAAAAAAGAAGCCCAAGAAGTGAGCCCTGGAGTGTTCCAGTCACTCAGAGACAGCTGAGGGTACCTGTGGTCTGATGCCAGTGAAGACTCTGCCAGGAAAGAGGGTGTGACTGGCCTCATTGGATGCACCCAGTGGGGCTCAGAAGATGAGACCAGAGGCTTGGCTATGCAGTTCGGCAAAATGTAAGTCAGCAGTGGCCTTGATGACAAGGATAGTGGGAACAGGTTTAAGAACCGACAGGAGGAGGGGGATTGAGAATGAACTTGGGGAATCATCACCAGGAGCACCTGAACAGGTCTGGAAAGAACTCTACAGGGACATGTGTATTGTCACAAAGAGGCAGAGAAGCCACATTTGAGAATCATCCCCACAGAAAGTGTTGAGAGAATTCTGTGAGGAGTGAGGATATGCTGGGGAAAATGAAATTTTTGAACGTCAAAGAAACATCAGAAACAGACCAGAGTCTTGGTGTCGTCCTCTTTCTGACCCTGGCTTGCCTTTGGTACCCTGGGTCCCTGAAGTAGACATACCATTAGTCTCCCAGCTTCTGCAGGGAATTCCATTTTCCCAAGTCAACTGCAAAGTGATCATCCCTCATCCTTGTCTGGTGCCCTTAGTGGCTGCTCATCACACCCCTAGAGACATTTGATTCTGTTGGTCTAGTCTAATGATGCTCCCACCATTCAGGTTTACCAGCCACAAAACCCCTTTAATCTCCAAACACTCCAGGTCTTCCTTGAAGTCTTTGGATGAGGTGACTCCAGTGATTGATAGGAGAAGCCACAAAATCAGTTTAAGAAGATGAAGCATACCATTTCATTATTTAGCTCCATTAAACCAGAAACAGAAGGTCCCATTTGGTTCCATTATTTCTTATGTTCATATTATACCAGATGTTCTTATCTCCTCTTGTCTAACATGTGTATATATCAGCACTCACACAGAAGGCACAGGGTTTCTCTGTGTATCCCTGACTATTCTAGAACTCACCATGTGGACCAGGCTGACCTTGAACTCAGAGATCCCCCTGCCTCTGCCTCCTGAGTGTTGGGATTAAAGGAGTGTGCCACCACTACCAAGCTCCTACCTTATTTTTTTTATACTTTTTCCCTGGCTTTTCCTGTACCCTCAGATTTAAGCATAAAGTCTATGTTGAGGTCTTTTGAAGATTGACATTTCCTGCCCAAACATCTCTTTTGAGATCTGAATCACAGCCAAAGATAGATACTCCGGAGGTCTGTAACAATCCCAGGCTGGTTGCTAAGCTGAGCTCTCATCTTCACCACCCAAATGCTTTTCTTTCGTTTCTCAATAAATGTCAATCTCTTGGTTAGTGTGGCTCTTTCAGAGCTGGTTAGAATGGCTGACCAGCAAGCCCCAGAAATCCTTCTGTGTCTGCCTTCCTAGTGCTGGGAATACCATGCAGGCTGCTGCATAAGATGGAAATCCAAGCTTAGTTTCTCATACTGCATTACTAGCCCTAGAGATCTGGAAGGCTTCTCCTCTATTCCAGTTTGTAAGAGAATCTACTTGTGATGTGAGCACGGTAGTGTGGAGGCAGGAAGATAGGAGTCCAAGGTCATCCTCAGCTACATAGTAAGTTTGAGGCCAGCATGGGCTACAAAAGACTCCCTCTCAACCACTCTGTACCTAAGCAATTAAAAAACAAAACCTATGTACTCATAATGGTCAAAATGTTTCATGACAGTAAGTCCTTTAATCTTCACAATAAATCTTTGCGGTGACTGCTATAATTATCACTCATTTTGTAGAAGTGGAAACCAAGGTACACCGAGGTTGAGTAACACATCCAAAGTTACACAGCTTAACAATGGAACTGGAATGAAAATTGTGGTGGTTTGGAGGAAAATGGCCCCCAAAGGGAATGGTGCTATTAGAAGGTGTGACCTTGCTGGGGGAAGTGTGTCACTGTGGGGGCTTTGAGGTCTCCTTTGTTGAAGCTTCACTCAGTGTGACACTCAGACCACTTCCTGTTGCCTGTCTATCAATATGTAGCAGCGACTTTGTCAGGACCATGTCTGCCTGCATGACACCATGCTCCCCATCATAATGATAATGGACTAAGCCTCTGAAATGGTAAGCCTACACTTCAGTTAAATGTTTTCCTTTGTAAGAGTTGCTGTGGTCATGGTGTCTCTTCACAGCAGTAGAACCCTAAGACAGAAACTCGGGCCATTTGATTTGAACATTCATGGACTTAACCTGAACTCATTCATCTTGCCAAATCTTTTGACTCACTGTTATATACAACCTATTAGATGAATAATCAATTCCGTCTCTGAAAATGTCCCAAACCTACTGACTGTCATAGTAATTCCATGCAGGTCCCCACGCTACTGAGTTCTACCTCCCTAATTCTCCCCCAGGTCTTTCTTCCCAGAAGAGCGAGGCCTTGGCTTTATTGTAGTTCTTTTCTAGGCTGCATTCCTTCCTGGACACACACCCCATCTGAATTATATCCCACTCTAGTTTTTCTCTCATTGTATTACTCTTTCCTTCCAGTTACATTTTATAACTGAAAAAGTTGCATTTGTGTTCTTTTTAAGTAAGCATTATGAAGGCAGAGTTCTTGATCATCTCCTCCTGTCTGCCTGGCACTGGGCAGGGAGCTGTGTACACAGCAGAAAGTCCATAACACTGGGGGATGAACTGATGGGTCAGTGAATCATAAGTGAGAAATGACTGTCTAACTTTTACGTTGAATGCTAAGTGAAGTTTTGTCTCTTTAGGACCTGGTGTTCTATGAATTAGTGAGCATTACACAATCAAGCTTTTGAAAGGTAAAACTTACTTCCATCATTTCAGTGAAAGACACTGGTAAGTGTGCCCCGATCTTTCTAAGAAACTCCATCCTGATTCTATACTCTGCCCAGCACAGCAGACCAAGGATGGGAATTGACTCCGGCAGGGCAAATTGGTCTCTCCCTGTTGAGAGTTTAGAATCGGGAAACAGAGAAACAAACAAAAGCAGGCTTGTAGGATGTGCTCACTCATCTGTCCTTCAAATATTTTTGAGCATCCATAATGAAGTAGTCACAGGAGACACTCTCCTTTGAGGCATTTTGTGGTTCTTGAGAGAATGCCTTTAAGTAAAGCTGCTACTGCAATGCAGCCCGTGAAGTACCGTGATGTGGGAAGAAAGGAACGCCCCATGGGGGCCTCTCACACAGAGGGAGGCCAGGGAAGGCTGTGCAGGAGAGGGGGCATCACAGACGGGAGAAAGCTTAATCAATCCAGAAAGGAGCAGAGGTGAGGCAGAGAACAGCCTGTGATAGGAACTGCAAGCAGTCTATCCAGTCTGGGCACCAGAAGCGAGAGATAATTCTGGAAGGGGAGTGAGGTCCCCATCATGAAGGCCTTGTGAGCCTGACCCAAATTTGAGATTTCTTCTAAAGACTGTGAGCGTTCTTGACAAAGCTTTAGCCAAAGAGTGATGTATTCCCGTCGGTGCTCTAGAAAGATCCTCACGGTCTTGGTGGGGAAAGCTGTGCCACTGGGGAGATGGCTGTGGAAGTCTGAACAAGATGCGATGATGACGGGGATAAGGCAGTGGCAGTGGGAGGGATAAGAGGTGACGGACATCAATTTCAGAACGAAGAGGTGCTAAGGACAATGCCACGGCTTAGAGTGGTGGTGGAGAGAAAGGGCCCAGGCGATAGTGTACACACAAGGGAACTCCAAGAGCTGGGAGGGAGCTGTGGATGTGAGTGGTGTCTGCATGGGGTTAACTCACACCTCACAGAACCCAAGAGGAAAACAATTGCTGCATGGATGGAACCCTGAGTGACTGCACCATAGAAGCATCCGGGTGAGGAAGAGGAGCCTACAAAAGAATTGGATGACAAGTGTTCAGGATGCAGTTGGAAACTCGAGAATGAGTAATGTCATAGACACCAACGAGTGAGACCTTTTCTGGAAGGTTCCAAAGAATGACAACAGTCTATCCAAAAGACCCAAGCAAGGACCACTGCAAAGCAATTAATTTCTGGTGATGTAGGAAGTAGTACTGACCATTTCTAACAATCTCACCTTCAGCATGCTTGTTTCAGGAACACTAGGGCACTTAGCCTGGCACCTCACTGCAGATTCCTGAGGAATGGCTTCACCGGGCGTTCCGAATTTGGGTTTCAAATGTTGTTACGAGGCGATCTGTGAAGTGCACTTGAATGTCAGAGTTGAAAATGTGGAAAAAAAGTAGACATGAGGAAAATTTATTTTGAAAGAAGTGTCTTCTCGACTTGGAGTCGACGACTAGCAGCCCAGTAACGAAGCATTTTGTGTGTGTTTATGACCGGCCTGTCAAGAACTGCCAGAAAGTGACTGGTGAGCAAGAAGAAAATGATGTGGCCTGTTTGTCATCTCTCAGAGTGTCCAGCTGCTGAAGGCCACTCTGCAATCAAAATAGAATTTTCCTTCATCAGTAGCCATATGCCGAGAAGAAGAAACAGGCCACATCTTGTTCATTAAACAACTACGCATGGGAGCCAGTGTGTAATCGCGCCTTTTTTTTCCACTTTATTTTCAACAGTTTGAGTGTTCCTAAGAAGCCTCTGTGGGACTGGATCTGGTGCTTCAATCAGAATCTGAGTGTATTTTCAGGACTGGCCCCGTTTCTGCCCCTCTTCGCTTCTCTGTAAAAGCCTCTCCGGGGCCTGGTTTCTGCTCCTCCATCTGAGTGTTTAGTCAGTTTAATATACACAGCAGACATATTCTGGAAAAAATACGAGGCTCCTCAACAGAGGTATTTCCAAAATTAGGTGTTGTTTAAAAACTAAGGCAGAACATCCATTCATCAGAACACACCGGCAGGCAACAGAGTGGTCCACATGCTAACTGAAGCTGTTCTAAGGGCTCTGACTCCCTTGATTGCCGTAAACTCTCCACAGATGCTGTGCATGCTGCATCCCCCTGAACAAACCAAGCAGTGTTTCCCAAAATGCTGTCCACTTAGAACATTTTTTTGGATGGTTAATGAAAAAACAAAAAGCAAAACAAAGCAAAGCCCCCACGCACATGAAGGCATCTTTGTTCACAGTTGGCTGCCTATTCTCAGGTCCAGATGTAAAGTGTGAACTCCGCCCTTCTCTCCTCACAGGATGAATACAGGGGATGCAGAGGAAGGGGAGGGAGACAGCAAATTCTAGTCCGCAAACACAGGTTTAAGACTCTCTTCACTTTCCTATAACAACTTAATTCCTACTGCCAAGCTTTTATTTATTCTTGCTGGCAGAAGAAACACAGAAAATGAAAAATGTGTCACCTCACTGTCCCTGGCCTCACAGAGGTTGTTGATGCCAGCGTCCAGCCACGGCCTCCACAGGATGCCCACCTGGCGCTGGTTTCCATTTATCTCTGTGGCAGTCTTGCCTGGCCCGACCCCGCAGGCCCAGCCACCCCCAAGTCTGTCTGCCAAGCACCCTGAGGTATTGTGTGCTGAAATCACTTTCCTCGGAAGCAGGGCTGGCTCTGGGCTCCTAGAACCCACAAATCCATCTCCCTGTCACCTTCCCCTTACCTCCTGCCAGACAAACAGGATCTCTCTGGAGTTTGGGAAATTGCTTCTTTGAACACTTAGAAATAACAAAAGAACCCTCTTAGGATGTAGGGTTTTGCTTCTGAAGGTGGGAGGGAAAGGTTTAGCTTTGTGTCTTATCTACACAGTTCCTGGGAAGACAGCAGTTCAGTCAGCTACCACCTGCTTGATGTGAAGGAGGGGTGGAGGAGAGGAAAAACAGTGAGGGGTAGGGTGGAGAAAATGACAAAGGACATGCTTTTGGACCAGCAGGGCACATACCCACCCCATTCCTCCCCAGATTTCCCCAGTGCCCACCTTTACCCACGTTTCCTGATTTCTGTGAGCCTAGGGACCCAAGGGTTCCAAGGCAAACATGGTACCAAATTATATGGAAATGCGGGAACCCTGAGGGAAAAGCATGCCCCGTAGCTGAGAAAGAAGCCCTTGGCACACTGACTCAGCAAAGAACCTAAAGAGTCAGGCGCTGAGTGCCGTGGGGCTCTGAGCAAACTTTTCTGTTGTCACCCTCCTGAGTCTATTATCTATGTTGGTGGGGACACAGGACCAATGACGCGCCTCCCAGGGATGAAGAGATCTGCATCTTCTCAACCCACCCCTACCACACAGAAAAATGAAATAGGGCACAGAGGTAGAGTTCTTGCTGTCCTCAGGTTAACAGGGGCAGTGAAGGCTATGGAGAAGCTCTGCAGAAGGGAGGGGGGATGACCTAAGGTCTATCAGAAGTCACAGACAGTGTATTGTTGTACTGAAGCTTTGACTGTCCTTTAGAAGCTAGGGACTGCATCACATGTCTGTCCAAGGACAGCAAGGAGAGACAAGAGAAGTGCAGGCAGTAGCCTGTGTGTGTTGCGATCCCGTCCCCTGCCTGCATGTCCACGGGGACACAAAGAAGGCCATGAAGAAGGCCTGCTGTCATACAGGAAGGACATGGGCTGGGCAAGGGGACTGCTATTTTAGGAGAATTAATGACAAGCTCTTGAAGAACAATAGGCAGAAGGAGCCAGGCAGTTAGGAATATCATCTCCACATTCCATCATTGCAGCACATCCAGACATATCATATTTTAGTCCATATACCATATTAGAATAAGGGGAGCCTTGGGTCCAGGTGGACCTCAGTTTAAAACCTAGTTCTGCTATTTCCTAGTCATAAAGTTCATAGAAACATGTTAGGGGATTCCCACCTGGGTCCTGTTGCTGCTTCAGAACCTCCAAATAACACACAGACGCTATATTAGTATAAAGCTGTTGACCTTTTAGCTGAGGTTTCTTATTTGCTAGCTCAGTCTTAATTATTCACCCATTTTCTAATAATCCATGTATTTCTACATGGCCTCATCTTACCAGAGAAAAAGTCCAGAATTCTTACTCCATTGGGGTCTACATCACATCTGTTCCACGTCTCTGCAGAGAAGAGAAAAGAGAAGAGGAGAGGAGAGGAGGGGAGAGGAGGAGAGCTATTTCCTGTTTGACCTGTTTATATACTGATTCTGCCCTGCTGTGTCACTTCCTGCCTGGATCATATGGCAACTTCTCTTTACTACATTTTCCAGAATCCTCCTCGACTCCTAGTCCCACCTATCTTGCTTCCCTGTTGGCCAACAGTGCTTTAGTCATCAACCAATAAGAAAAACATATACACAGAAGAACATTCCCCATCAGAAACCCCCTCCTTTCATCTCTAAATGAGTATAGTAGTTTTTGAAAGTATTGTGTGCATCAAAGGAGAGTTTTTTCTTGCTGAGATGATTATAATAATCTGATTTCTCCAGGGAAACTCCAGTGCAGGAACCTGGAGTTTGGAGCCTTCACTATAGCAGATGAGAAGAGAGTGTATGATCAAATGCCCAATGCGTGACTTCTATAAGACCTGGGGCAAGTGGTCACTCTGTTTACTCATCAAAGGCTTACACTTGGGTCACCATGATGTCCCTGGGCACACTGGAATGCTGGAACTGAGTCTTCAGAAGTGATGGCCTTCGCTGAACTTGAGCTGTGAACAGCTGCACTGGGCTACAAATAACTTTTCAAACGGTGAGTTCCTTTGCCGGGCGGAGGCACAGCTCTTAGTGGGCTTGGAACCCACAGGAACATCTAATAGAGAGGTCTCCTTTCACAGTGACACCCTGCAGCCTTCTACCTGCCAAATTGGGAGATGGCCAATTTTTAGAACTGACTCTTTAGACTTTTTTGGAACAAAGACACAAGGAAAAGTTCAAGGGAAAGAGATGCTTCGATAATTTATTAAGGTGAGATGGGTCCATCAAACCAAAATCCCAGTGGGAACTGTAAACTCTGGAACTTTGAAACTGGCTCCTGTCTCTCCTGCTGTCTGTCATCAGGATATTTGTGGATATAATAGCCAAATCTGTGTCCTCAGCTCACAGGCCAACTAAGGGAAGCAATGCTCTCGGTGGAAAGCCATAAAAATAAAGACATCCTAGAACAGCAGTGGGGCTGTTCTTACTGATTTTTGACCAGAAAAGAGAGCTATGGAAAGATCCTGGCATCGTATATGACCCAAAAACCATAAATGAATAATTAAATAAGAGATTTAACTCATAGAACGGGAGATGCTAACATGGTAGGTTCTGTACTGAAACACAGGGCCTTAACTACCTGATGGGACCTTTCCATTATCTAGGCAGCTGGCCCAAAGAGGCAGAAGCATACACTTTCAGAAAGAGCTTTAAGCCCCTTATGGATATGGTGCCCATGAAACTCGTGCTTTGGAGACTGGGGATGAGAATAACACTGTACATTGATTCTAACAGAACAGGGAAACCAAAAGGAATACACTTCTGCCTCTCATTTCCAATCAGACGATACTCTAAAATTCACGCCCAATTATTTATTTGAATTCTCCATTATACTTCAGACAGAAGCAATGGTGTAATGGTTAGATGCTGCATTCAGGCTAAAGTACCCTACTGCTCCTGATGGGGTTCCAGCTGCAGCAAGCCCACCGTTTTAAACGTGTTCTGCTCATAGAAAAGTGAACTCCAGGCTCTGTATCTGAATGCAGCAACGGTCCCACCTCTTTGAGTCGTCAGTTTTCCTTGCCTGGACTCCAGGACCTTAGGGTCAGGAGAATTAGCAGACTGTTCCTCAGATTCTAAGAACTTGCTGAGGGAGCCTCTGGGAGCTGGGGTCCCTTGGTGATCTTGCCAGTCCAGCTACTGTAACAGAAAACCTCTGAACAATAGAAATTTATCTCTTTTGCAAGCTGGGCAGTTCAAGATTGACATTTGGATCCAAGATCAGAACTGGGCCTGGTGACCCAGGCTGAGGCAAAAGGGTTACAAGCTCAAGACTGGCCTGTGCTCCAGAAGGTGTGGAAGGGCAGCCTAATTAACTTAGGAGACTGTCTCAAAATAAACAGAGGACCCAACAGCCTGCCAAACATGTGCGAGGCCCTAGGCCAATTCCCAGTACTGAAAAAAAAGTGCCACCTGCTTCCTGGTTTTAGGTGGCCGATGTCATTGTCTTATTATGTCACCACATGAAAAGCAAAGAAATCTCTTAGGGTCCCCTTTACAAGGGCACTAATCTCATGTATAAGAACTTTGCCCCCACGATCCTGTTGTTTTTGACATAGGTCCGTGGGGGTGGGAAGGGACGGAGCAGTAAGGGGGAGGGAGGGGACTGAAGGCAGAGGGAAAAGAGGAGGGGAGCTGGGACATTTTAGGAGTGAGGCCAATGACAGGAGGTCAGGTCATTGGGTGGTGTGGCAGCTGAAAGTGCAATGTCCTCTACAGGCTTGTGGACACTTGTCCTAAGTGGTGGCACTGTGGAGGGGGGTGTTGTGGAACCTTTAGGAGGCAGGGCTTGCTGGGGGAAGTCATTCTTTTCTGGGATTTGAGAGTTTATAACCTCTTCCTGCTTCCAGTTCACTCTGAGCTTTGTGTTTATGACTGATGATCTGATCTCTCAGTTTCCTGCTCTAGAACCCTTCCTGCTACCCTACCCACCCCACCCATCCCAACCCGTTCCACCCCATCCCATCCTCCATCCCACCCCACCCACCATACCCCATCCCACTCCACCCTACCCACCTCTTCCCACCCCACCCCACTACACCCACCACACCCTACCACACCCACCCTACACACCACACCCACCACACCACTCTCCCCATCCCATCCCATCCCACACACTCCACCCCATCCCATCCCCACACCACCTACCCCACCCTACACACCCCATCCTCCCCACTCCCCCACCTACTCCACCCTATCCCACCACACCCACTTCACCCTACCCCACCCACCACACCACACCCTCCACACCCAACCCCACCCCATCCAACCCCATCCTCCCCACTCCCCCACCTACTCAACCCCCACCTCACACCCCACCCCCTGCCAACGCCGGTATAGATTACTGCTCTGGAACCATGGAGTCAAATAAACTCCCGTACACATTGCCTGTTGGGGAACAAAGGTCCTCAAGGCCACAGACCACTAGAGAAACCAAGAGTGTTAATCACACATGGTATCTCTTCAAAGGACGAAATACCCACTTTCTACCTAGAAGGCCCGGAGTGGATGTTGTTCATGACCTGGGGACCTGTGCTAAAGTTTATCCCAGACTCTCCCTCCTTAGACCTTTATCTTTGGCTCTCAGTTAGAACCCGTGCCTAGGGGAGGTGTGGAATCTATCTTACCGCCTGCTGGCCCCTGTGTTCTCTGTCAGACCACACCAGATCCTAACTCTTTAGCTATGCAGCCTGTCTTCATGGTCACGTGTACTTCGCAAAGGAGTTTTTAATGTAGGCATGCCTTAAACTTTATTGTGCACCTGGAACTGGAAAGATTGTTGCCTGGAAACCTGGAATGGGAATGAATGATGGTTGCCTGGAAACTTTTTCACAAATTGTAGTGTGTTTAAATAAGTTGGCAATAAGACACCTGGCATCAGACTCTGGAAGTTTGATCCAGTCTGACTAGGTCAGGCTGAGCTGAGTTTTCATTCTCTTCTCCTCCAGGTTTGTTTTCCTGCCTGCCCTGACACCTGCTGGGAACGCCCCTCCCCCCGCAGGTGCCTTGGTTATACTTCCTTACATGTTAAGGAAGTAGCTAACACGAGGTGTGCCTTTGAGTGGGATATGCAGGCCTTATCCCTCCTTCCTCTGACCGAGGTGGACAGACTCCCTTCCCTCCCCCCACCCCTGCGTCCTGTTATAATGCGCCGATTCAGTACAGGCCTCAAACTAATAGGGCCAACTGAAGTCTCCAAAACCGTGCCAAAGCAAACCTTTTCCCCTTGTATCCCTAGTATGTAATGTATTTGTTGGGAAGCCCCACCCAGCCCCACTCCTCCCATTCCAGACCCCGTCCCCGAGAAAGGCCGCCATTGGAGGCTGCTTCCCCTGAGAAGCGCAAGACCAGTCCTACAGCCTATTTAAGACGTGGTCCCCCATCTGCCAAGTGGCTCTCCCTCATGCTTTCTCCTCTTCTCCTGGGACCACCCGGGAATGCTTTGTTCATTAAACCTAGATTATTAATTCGGCCTGATCTGATTTATTGCGTTGACAGAGAGCACAATACCTGGGTATGGAAATGTTACCAGTACTTTGTGACACTAACAGGAAGCTAACCATCACATATCCTAATCCTTCACCTCCCAATCCGGCCACAATGAGGAAGGGTTTAAAGCATGCTTTGGGTAGAGACATGGGCAGCATAGAAGGGTAGTCCTTTATCATTGGTGCACAGAAGCACATGGCTTACTGTCTTGTGACTTAAATGTCCTAAAGAGGTACTAACTGGTATTGTTAAATTTTTTCTAATTACCTAAAAAAGAAATCCTAGGCGAGCCAAGGATGTTCCTTATAATGTTTGTTAGTTTGGACAAATTCCAATTTTATGACACACCAGTTGAATGTGTGTGTGGCATAAGGCAAAAGCTGAATAGGAAAATCAAAATTAGCATGAAATGTATATGGAACTATCTCATTAACCTACCAATATGATCTTTAAAATAATGTTTATCAGTTTGCATTAAAAATATAATTTTATCTTTTGAGATAGGATCTCATGTGGCCCAGGCTGGCCCCCTGTAAGTGCTGGGATTGCCATCATGCACCATCATACCTGGATCATAAAAATGAAAAAACAACTAAATTTAAATGCAGACGTTTTGAGACAGATTTGAAAAGTCCTTTTTGGACACTCTTATTTATTTATATTACTCTGTTCTCAGTGGCCTTGGCAGAATATGGATTACTATGCACTCCTAATACGCAGACCATCGCTGGGTCTGGGGCTCCCTAGCACAGGATACAGGGCTTTTGGTAGATATGGAAGTCAGATATGTAACAGAAAAGGGCTTGTTTGGGAGCATTTATGAGTGGCCTGTGGGGCACTCACTTAGAGCAAGCCAGGGATGGGGAGTAGGGTGTGTTAGTGCTGGCACGTGGACACCCTTTGTCTCTTGGTTCTGATTAGATTTGAGACACAACGTGGATCCTATGAGCTTTAGGAAAAATATATTGTGAAGAAGGCAGACTATTGTTGAGAAATAGCTGCCAGAATGATACCCTCTTCTGTCACCTGTTTCAGAAAATTTGACTGGTGTCTTACCAGGCATGTGGTATGTAAGGGACGCATGGGCAGGAGAGCTATTTAAGAAACCAGCTTTAAGAACACAGAGTGTTGAGGTTCCAGGCTGGTTCCAACTCTCCCTGGGCCCTTTTACAGATGGAGTCTGGGCAATTTGTTTTTTGTTAGGTTTGCAAAGTAAGGAGCAAGGCATGGAAAAGAAAGTCATTCCACTGTGGTGATTTATGGACTGAAATACAGTTTGGGGTTCCTTGGGGACAGGAGGGTCACCAAGGTTCAAATCTTCTGTGTGTAGGTCAGACACAGCAGCTGCTGTCACCTGGCTAACAGCCATTAGACATTTGCAATATTGAAGGTGTCAAATCATCCTGGGGAGTTCAGAGCAGGACTGACCTGGCCTTAGCTGGGGAAATTGGCCCCTTCATCTAAACCCCCACTGCTGGGGTCCTTCCTTGTGCTAAACCTCCCGTCAGAACCTTCCTGGCACACAGGCTTCCTCCATCCACTCATCACAGGCAGAAATGCAGCTCTCAAGCTCTCAGAGTGTTCAATCCAGATCACGAACCATCCGTGGGAGCTTCTTCCCAGGCTGCAGGTTTACCCAGGGAAGATGGGGTGTTCTACAAAATCCCACAGCTGTTTGTCTCCCTGCTGATCACACATCAGGGCAGTGGGATGTTTCTCTCATAGGAAACTCTCCAGGGCCAGTCTCCTTTAAGATGCCAGCAGTGTTCTGAAGTAGCATCACAGCTGACTAAGCAGGAAGCCTTCTGGAAATCTCTGAGCTGGCTCTTATCTCATTTCACCAAGGACCTATCCTCGGAGAAGAATGATGTGCAAATGTTCTTTGCACCTTTGTTATCAATGCTGCACCAGTACTCAACACTGGCAGACGCCCTCCCCCCCTTTAAACAGGCCTCCGGGGGTGCCTGGGAGGGTCCTGCAAGATGCCCTTCCCCCCCTTAAACAGGCTTCTGGGGGTGCCTGGGAGGGTCCTGCAATGTTTCAGTGCAAATGAGAGCACACAAGGCCTTGCCCTGCTCAATCCAGGTGGGCAGAGCTGCTTCAGGATGGTCGAACTGTTTGTGCATTAATCAGCCACTTTTATGTACTATATATATTTATGCATGTTTATATACAAACATATTTACATGCTATATATAACAAGTATATAATATTACTTGTTCAGATTTATTTGTTTGTTTCTTGTTTTTGTTTTCATATTGTCTATCTTAAGTAAGTATGGCCTATTGGTTAGTTTCTTGTTTGGAAGGTTTCTTTTGTTCGTTGTTTTTTTGACAAAGCCAGGCTGGCTTTGAACTCGCTGTGTAGCTGAGATGACTTTGAACTCCCGAACTCCTCCACTTCCACAGTCACTGGGATTACATGTGTGTGTTGCTGTGCTCAATTTGTGTGGTGCAGACGACTGAACCCAGGGCTTTGTACATGTTAGGCAGCCCCCCTAATAACTGACGCCACAACCTCCAATTTCCTACTTTCATAAATAATGTTTTCCTGGAGCATGCCCATTAGTTATGTGTTATCTGTGGCTGCTTTCTCTGCTCATAGCAGGGGCAGGTATTCTGCTAGAGACTACACTATGTACAATGACATCTGAAGAAAATTGTCACATCCTTGCCTCAATGGTTTGACCCTTCCTAGAAATACACACTGCATAAGCATGAGCATGGACTATTCTACACACCCACTAGATTGTCATGAAGCATAACTGTGGTGATATTTTGTTTGTGCTCTAACAAATAAAGCTTGTTTGGAGATCAGAGAGCAAAGTTAGCCATACTAGTTAGCCATAGAGGCCAGTCAGTGATGGCACACACCTTTAATCCTAGCACCAGGGAGACAGAAGAAGATGGGATCTCTCTGAGTTCAAGGCCTTCCTGGGCTGCATGAAATTGATCAAGTCTAAAAGAGAAACAGAGCCAGGCGGTGGTGGCTTACACCTTTAATCCCAGCAGTAGGGAGGTAAAAACAAGAAGGGATATGGCTGGTAAGAGAGGAGATGATAAGGCAGAAAGAGACAGTAGCTCAGTCTGAGGATTCCTAGAGACAGGTTTGCCCATTCACTCTGAGGATTCTGTAGAGGTAAGAACTAGTAGCTGGCTGCTCTGCTTCTCTGATCTTTCAGCATTTACCCCTATATCTGACTTGGGTTTTTATTATTAACACCAATTAGAATTCATGCTACACATAACACTTGAGATACTAACAGGAACTAGGTATGTAAAAGCATGTTCACAGAGGTGGCTGTCAAATTTCCAAAACTACAATTTTTCACTAGGAAAAAAGGACAACTTTTCTGTATATACTGGGATACTTGTGGGACTCCAAATAGTTCTTAGTTCTAAAACATGAAGTCAAGGGGAAAATGCAAGTTGCACAATGATACAAACAATATCAACACAATGTTTATGTAAATTTGAAAATGTGCAAATTTTCTATTCTGTTGAAAATTGAGAGTATATACAAGCTAGACAATACTACAGAAGCTGGACCTGGTGTGAGGAATCAGCTAGAAGTAACAACGTTGTAACAGAAAAAATAAAAGATCCAGAGACAGCTATTGGGGTTCAAGCTTCAAGCTGAAGATCAGAGAAGCAAAGCAGCCAGCCACTAGCTCTTACTGCTACCTTAGACTGAAAGGTGATCCTGACTCCACCAAACCTCAGACTGTAATCCCAGACTGCTATGCTCTCCTCAATGTGACTAAAGAATGAATGCCAGTTCTGAAACCCTGTTCCTGTCTTAAATACCTCTTGTGAGTCCTGGGATTAAAGGCGTGCAATCCCAAGATCATCTTTGTGTGAGCTGTTTCTCTTTAGGCCTAGATCAACTTCATGTAGCTCAGTGTGGCCTTGCACTAATAGAGATCCATCTGCTTGTCTCTTGAGTCCTGGGATTAAAGGTGTGTGCCACCACCGCCTGATCTCTATAGCTTGAGGGCTGGCTTTGCTTTCTGAATCCTCAGGCAAGCTTTAATGGATCATAAATAATATATCACCACACAACATGGCTTTATTTATAATGGGCATAGAAGCAGACAGGGGTTTCCTCCCTAGGACCCTTGTTTTAGGACACAGGCATAAAAATCTGTATCTCAACAATTTTCACAAGATAAAGAGAGCTAAGGCAGCAGATCCTCATCAGCTGCCCAGGGGCTTTTATGCTATTCCAGGCTGGGAGCCAAT